AAGAGAAACAACTTTTTATTCAAAAATCTTGAATAAAAAGAAAAGCTGGAGGCATCACACTACCTGATTTTAAAATATACTACAAAATATACTATAAATCCATAGTAACTGCAACTCTATAGTATAATATCAAAACAGCATGGCACTGCCAAACAAAGGGGGCAGGAGAGAGACAGAGACAGACAAATGACAGACATAAATCAAACAGAATAGAGAACTCAGAAATAATTTCACGCATTTACAGTCACCTCATTTTTAACCTAGGCATCAAGAACACACCTTCTGGAAGGACAATCCCTTCAATAAACTGTGCTAGGAAACACCCACCACCCACATGTAGAAGAATAAATCTAGACCGTTATCTTATCGTATACAAAAATCAACTCAAAATAAAGATTTAAATGTAGGACTTGAAACTATGACACTACTAGAGAAGAAAACATAGGATAAATACTTAATGAAATGGTTAGGACAAGGAATTTTCAAATAGACATCAAAAGTACAAGCAACAAAAGCAAAAATAGACAAATATAATTACATTAAACTTACAAGCTTCTGCAAAGCAGAAGCAGCAATCAGTAGAAGAAACAATCCAGAGAGTGGAAGAAAGTATTAGCAAACTATGCATCAGGCAAGCGGTTAATACACAAAATACAGAAAGCAAGACTACTCAAAAGCAAACATACAAATAATCTAATTTAAAAATCAGAAAAAGATCTACCGAAAACCCTTTTTCCCCACCATTACTTCCCCACCTTCTTTTCCCGACTGCCCCTTCGGCCCCCTCCCTGTCAACACTCTTCTTTCTCCATCTACCCTAAAACTTGTCCCCCACCACCTTCTCACAAAGCCCTTCTCTACTCTCCCACTCACTACCCTTTTCCCCACCATCTCTTCCCCTCTCCCTGGCCACCCTCTTTCCCCTCTCGCATACTCATCACCCTCTTTTGCTCCTTCATCCACCCAAAAACATTTTCCCCCATCTTTTCCCAAAGCCTTCTCCCCACTCCTGCTGCTCACCACCCTCTTTTCCCCCCTCCATCTACCCAAATACTTATTTTCCCACCATCTTTTCCCACAGTCTGTCTGCAACGCCTTCTCCTCCTTGCCATCCTTTATTTCCCTTCAGCACTCACCACTTTCTTTACCCCTCCATCTACCCCAAAACTATTTTCTCCCCTCCTACCACTTCAGCTGAGCTGCCCTCTCCGTGGCCGCCACCAACCGCAGCAAGGCGAGGTGCGCTGTCACAGGCCCCAGCCTCCAACATGAGGCATGTAGCTCTCCCATCTTCTCGTCCTCTAGCCGGACAGGAGCAGCTCCCGCTGCCGGTGGCCCTCCTACTGTTTCCGCGGCCCTGGGGTCCCGGTCTCCACCACCTACCACAGCGAGGCGAAGCCAGAGGAAAGCCACAGTACCACGGGCTCCAGCCTCCAACGTGTAGTAGGTAGCTTCCTAAGGTAGCACGTAACACCTTCGCATGTATACGCAGACAACCCTAGAATGGCCTGCCTGCTGGCCTCAACATGCTTTATATACTGAGGTTAGGCAATGAGGTTCCTGGACTACATGTTCTGATTGGATGACAGAAACCTGTAGGCCTACTCTGATTGGACTTTATTATGATGTTCTGATTGGATGAGAGCCAGTATTAGAACAACCAATCAGAGCATGAAAATAAAGTCCAATCAGAATAGGCCTAGAGGTTTTTTTTCTCTCATCCAATCAGAACATGTAGTCCAGGAACCTCCCCCTCGCCCCCAATTGCCTAACCTCAGTATATAAAGCATGCTGCAGTGGGCTGTCAGGTCACAACAGGATTTTGTGCGTGTGTGTCTGCTGTGTCGGTGCGTGCTGGGTTAGGAAGCCACTTAACTGCATGCTGGAGGCTGGAGGCAGCACTGGGGAGTGGTAGGAGGGCCACCAGCGGCGGGAGCTATTCCTGTCTGGCTAGAGGACGAGATGGGAGAGCTAAGTGCCCTGCGTTGGAGGCTGGGGCCTGTGACATCCCACCTCTCCTCGCCTCGGTTGGTGGCGGCCACGGAGACAGCAGCAGCAGCTGAAGTGGTAGGAGGGGAAAAAATAGTTTTGGGGTAGGTGGAGGGGTGAAGAGGGTGGTGAGTGCCAAATGGAAAAAAGGATGGCGAGCAGGAGAAGGCGTTGCAGACAGAGGGTGGGGAAAAGATGGGGGGAAAATAAGGTTTTGGGTGGATGGGGAAAATAAGGTGGTGAGCCGCAGGAGTGGGAAGAAGGCTTTGGGAAAAACGGGAGGAAATGGTTTTGGGTAGATGGAGGAGCAAAACGGGGATGAGAGCGCTGGTGGGGAAAAGGGTGGTGAGCAGGGAAGTAGAGAGGGCTTTGCAAAGGGATGGTGTGGGGAAAAAGTTTTGGGGGGGTAGATGGAGAAAGAAAAAAGGGTGGCGAGAGGGAGGAGGCCGAAGGCATTTGGGAAAACAAGTTAGGGAAATAATGATAGCGGAGACAAAGGTTTTGGGTAGATCTTTTTGATTTTTAAATTAGATTATTTGTATTTTTGCGTTTGAGAAGTCTTTCTGTATTTTGTGTATTAACCGCTTGTCTGATGTATAGTTTGCAAATACTTTCTACCGTTATCTGGATTGTTTCTTCATTCTACTGATTGCTTCCTCTGCTTTGCAGAAGCTTTTAAGTTTAATGTAATTATATTTGTCTATTTTTGCTTTTGTTGCTTGTACTTTTGATGTCTATTTGAAAACTCCTTGTCCTAACCAATTTCATTAAGCATTTATCCTATGTTTTCTTCTCTGATAGTGTCAATTTCAGGTCCTACATTTAAATCTTTATTTTGAGTTGATTTTTGTTTATGATAGTTGTCTAGATTTATTCTACATGTGGGTGTTGGGTATTTCCTAGCATAGTTTATTGAAGAGATTGCCCTTCTGGAAGGTGTGTTCTTGATGCCTAGGTTAAAAATGAGTTGACTGTAAATGCTTGAATTTATTTCTGAGTTCTCTATTCTGTTTGATTTATGTCTGTCATTTTTCTGTCTGTCTCTGTCTCTCCCCTGGGTCCCCTGCCCCTGGATGGAGTTAATTCTCCATCCAGTTTTCCACATTGGTTACTTACTACCACCGGTTCGAGGCCATTTTTCATTTATATTACCCGATCATTTTATTCATTGTCACATTTCTAACAGTATATGCTGTTTCCACAGCATACCATGTGAA